TTTTTTTTTAAATTCTTCCATCATGATACGCCTTAGGGAACTTCTAGGGGATATTTAATGTTTTCTTGCAGATGTAGTGCTATGTTGCATTTTGAAATAATACATCTATTTTACAATCAGCTCAGTGGCCTGAAATTCCTATAAAACATGTCCAATTAATACTTTCATTGACTTGAGAACATGCATTAATTCAGCATTAATTATTATTAACAATATTGTTCATAAAATCATCAAGAAGAGTTAATTATTGAAATGATCTTTGATTTGTTTAATCAAACCAGATAAAACAAAATATGCAGTGAAGTGGAATGTAGAGGGAGAAACAGAGCAGTTATAGTAAACTCTGATAGTTTAATACTAATTTAACTCCATCAGTAACAGTTTATTTACTGAAATACATATTTTTTTGTAAATATGTAGTTGCCTATGGAGACATCTATAAATGTATCCAGAAATTTATTTTTAAATTATTTTACTTCTGTAAAAATCTTGTAATTTCTACAAGATTGTATAAATGCTATACTTTACATACAAAAATATTACTTATTTGTATCTCATAAGATTATTAAACAGCAAATGTATTGTCTTAATAATTATTAAACAACAATAATAAATTTGAAATGCAATGTTTCTTTCTATAAAATGCAGCTGCAGATATTGTTGGTGACATGGTAGTTTGGCAGTTAGTGCTGCTGCCTCACTGCATCTGGACTTGATTCTGCAAATTTGTGGATTTTGTACATTCTCCCATTCTCTACATGATGAAAAATCATGCTAGCTAGGTAAATCGGGTATTCTAAATTGTTCATGTGTAACTGCTCTACAACGGGCATCCCATCCAGGATGGAGTCCCTGCCTTTTCTGATATTCTTAACCAACTCTCAACACCTTTCATAAACATTAAAAGAAGTGTACTCAGTATTATAGGGTAAATTCCATGGGTATAACAGAATCAAGTCTCAGAATAATTACAAACACCATGGAGCGTTATGAGCATGATCTTACTAAGTAAGGTCATTGAAGATTAATGAAGGGATGAGCCTTCTATTGTGATTTTCTTTCCCTGCAGTGACTGGACATCTGTATGCTTTCCCTAGCACCTAATGTTCACAAGAAAGTCTATACACTGAATTTAACAGAGAAAAGGCTTAATTTCTTTTCTGTGAGTTTTGTTGTATTACGTGAAAAATATGGAGCTATTGAGTTTCTATTATCAATCTGTGACTTACCTAAAGGAATTTAAATCATTGTAATTTTGCCTTCCATCTGATGGCTGTAAAAGAATGTCTCCAAACATCGAGAGATAGACAGAAATGACATCATCAGGATCATAGTTGCATTGTCTAAGAGCTGCAGAGATTTCCTTTTTATCCACAAGACCTGGAAGAGCTTTCTTAGAGTGGAAAGAAGAATAGCATAATTTAAGTTGAAAAACTATCAATACTCCTTAGATAATATAGTCATTTAAATGTATGTAATTTACAGTTATACTTTAATCCTACAGCTATATATATTTGCCTTGATCTTTGGTTTTGAATTAATCTTTCTAATGTAATAAGTAAGTTCCGTTGTGCTGGATGGAACAAATTTGAAGTTCAGATTTTTACCATAACTTGCAGAACTTTATCTTTGACAAAATCCATGTTCATCTCCCACTGCAATGGCAATAGAAGCCACATTCCAGATTGTGCATCAAAGTATCTACAAATATTGGCTCTTTCCTGAAAGAATCAACAATGACACAGATGAAAATGTATTTTTCTGCACAAAGGATTAAAAAAAAAGACAAAACAGGTTTTAAATTGAATTACCTCAAACATGTATGTCATGACCATTCCTTTTCCTTGTATGTAAAGATTGTTGGCACGACCATTTTCCATGAAAGTTGTGTCAGATTTTAAATGTTGGCTAACACCTGAGGGAGCTTGATTATGAATGGTCACCTGCTAGATATACAGTACATTCAAATGTAATCCATACGTTTGTAGTAGTCCATTAGGTTGAAAATATCATTACACCATAAAAAGTATATTTGTATAGAACATAGATCTTCTTACCTCATTAGTCCCAACAATGAATCTACCTTGACCATACCATTCACTGGGGAAATGTACAACCCCCTGCTAAAAAGAAAATTTGTATTTACAAAGGATTTCTACAAAGCTCCTTCTATGTTACAAAATAAAAGGGATATCTGTGATTGAAACCTACCTTTGCTTCATCAAAGTAGACCCTCGTTCCATATTGGTTAAAGCAGGTATAAAGGATTCCATTATTATGGAGAAAGCTCTCAAAGGCCAAAGATACTTCATCACTTTCAAAAGCTGTTTCCTTTAACAAAAATAATAAAAATATTTAGGAAGAGCCTGTAAAAAATCAACAATAGCAACAATAAAATGTTTGCAGTAATAAAATCTGAAAAAAAGCAACAGGAATGGGTTTTCAATTGAAAGCATCTGAATGTACAGTAGAGTAGGCTGCCTGCAGTGCCCTGCAGGTAATGTATGAAGTGTTAGCCATGTGTGGTGAAGGAAATCAAACAGAAAAGTAAAATTTGACCTAGGTTTTTATTCCTAGTCTCCAGTAGCAAGGAAGAGGGGCAATCCATATTAAGACTGCAGTTTTACTCATAAAAAAATCTCTATTTGTGAATAAAGAAATGAAGCCCTAAGTAACCACACATTGACGCATCATACCAGTCATGCTGAAGAAGAATTGCATTCAGCCGTGTACAAAACCTTACAAGCCTTTTATGTTTTGAATTTTATTTATTTTTTCCACTCAGAAAAACCCTGCTTCTTAATTATATAACAAATTCTAATTTCATCTACTTACATTCATTGTCATTTTAAACATGTTTTCAATTTCTTCCACAGCCTCATCTTCCTTTACGGTATTCTTTTTATCTTGCTTCACTGAGCCATTACCTGTCTGTTTTTCCTTACTACTTGTGTTATCACCAGGTTGACTAGTGTTTCCCTGTAAAGAAAAAAGGGGTTTTGTACATTTAGCCTGCAGTTAACAATAAGCACTGGATATACATTCTGTCATGTCAGAATGGATTTCCTACAGATGGCATATCAGAATACTTTAACTATAACAGATAGTGAGTGTAAGAAAACAGTAATTGTAACAGCTGACAAAATAAAACATGACATTTGCCCTTCATATCCTGTACAGTACAGTCTGAACACTCTGTCCCTTCATCAATTATAACTAGTTCCTTATATTAGGGGTAACGGATGTAATGGGTAATAAAGATTGCATTTAGTCAGCACAAGTATACATGCTAAAGTAAATTTAATGAAACTTAATAATGTCCTGAAAAATGCATAGCTTGTGACAACAATGGAAACCAATGGGCTCTTTGGTGGGTCATCCAGTATAATATGGAATAGTTAGAACTGTCCAGTTTTGCCTAATAGATTACTACAACATGTGCCAATATACCTGATCAGAACCTTCAGGTATAACTGCCACATAAATATATTAAGAAGCAATACAAATGTTGTTGGTTGAAACACTCAGTACGTTCTACACATAACATTACATGTTATTTACAGGTATGTTATGTTATTACATGTTACTTTCATTGCTATTGTGTTACTGTCTATTGTCTTATCTTCTGTCCTATTTATATACTGCACCTGAGTGACTAATGAGAAACACTTTTCATTATATTATGCACCTGTGTAAGTTTAATGACAATAAAGTTGAATTGAATTGAATAAATAAAACCTATTCATGAAATGAAAGACAAAAAAGATTCACTGTCTTCTTGACAGAGGAAAAAGATTGATTTAAGTGATGGGTTTTCCGTAAGCCAGCGCTGGGTGTCTTAAGTGCTCAACCTGGAGACTTATCCTGCGCTATGTCTGTGTTTTTTTTTTCTGTTTCTGGTCGCACACGTACGTGCTGTGCTGAGGTTTTGTCGTTTTCTTTCACGTCGTCACTTTCTGTGTCCTGAGACCCCACGGCGCGGTCAGTGTGCGAATGTGGGGTCTTCTTACTTTTCCGACCTTTCATTTCAGCATCTCTTGCATCTTCACTCCCCTCTGCTGGCTGGATACCACCATCTCGTCTTTTATCATCGCATATGGAGGCTCCGCAACCCATTTCTGTCTAGTACTGTACATGAGGGTTAGTTAAGTCAGCCCACGTTTTGCTTTGTTACTTTGAACACAGCAAACCTCAGGTCCCTCGGGAGGGCTGTATGGTGCAAAGTATTCTATGAATATAAGCGAGGATATTTAGTGTAGACATCTTTTAAAAAAAGTTTAGAGTTTGGTTTTTGGATGCTCACCTAATACCGTAGCATATTGACTTTAAAATCATTATCCTAATAAAGAACACCCTGTTTATAACACACATATACTCGGTCTAAGTGTGTAATTAATATGTAGTCAACAAAATAATAATTTAAGAAAAATACTCCCAGAAAATAAGTGACAACGGTCTCACCTATCCGAGCGGGACCTGGAGTGTGGTTGTCTAGGTAACGCGTAAACGTCCATTGCTCGCCGTTGGCACGGATCTGATGCAAAGTCTCCCAGTTGGCCCGCAATTCAAAATGCCTTTTTTTCCAGACAGCCGGAAAAATTGAGAGCGAATAGTCAGCTTCAGCGGTTAAAAAAACGTGTATCTTAATTAAATTACATTGATAATTACTTAATTACTGAATATATCTAAATACTAAGATGACATATTAAACAGTACGATACTGAGCTAAAACATAATAAGCCAGTCAATGTGCTTTAACTTCCTTAATCTACCTCAGGTTAATAAATTCATAAAAGTCTTCCTGAAATGTAAAAAATAATGTTTAATAAATAAGGAGGGACACTATTCCATGCATCACTCTTTTAACAAGGGAAGTGTAAGTTCACATAGATTAGCTGAAATGAAAAGAAAGTAGTTTCTAGTTTCCTTATACTGCTCGATACAAAATTAAAAAATATCACACAGTGCACCCTGAGTTGTACGGTATGTTCTCAATATTTAATATTCTTAAAGATGCCTTTGTAATTTTATATACAAAAAGGTATTAAGAAATAGCATTAACCCTGTTTTTAACAGTTCAGATTTCACTAGACCATGCAAAGTGCAGACAGATATGTCCAAGGTGTGTCAAGGTAAGAGCTCCCCATCCTGTTCTTTAGCAGCATGTTACTGCCAAGGCAGACTCACTTTTAGATTAATGTGACTGAGTGCTTAGCCATTTAAGTACCCATGAATTGAGATGTGAAGTGGCCCTTCCTGCTCACTAGTCAGCATAATGACTTATGGAATGTGATGTACCAGTGAATAAGTATGTGTTGTGCAGCAGATATATCACCACAAACATTTTTCAACGTGATCTGCCTGGAGAGTTAAGTATTTGTGCGTAAAACTGTCTTGAGGCCGAGAGCAATATTTTTAATGGATTCAAAGAAATGTATTCACACGCTAGCTTGTTTACAATGGAATAAGTCCTCTTCACGTCACTGGAGGTTTCGTTGCCTCGTTCTGAATCCCAGAACATGGTGCTGTGCCTACCTGGAAATTTAGTCTATGTTGTGGTGTGAATTGCAGGTGTGACACATTTTACTTTCATTGTAGTTTGAAGTGCACTCTTCAATGCTGATTCTTTCTAACCCTGAAATTTACAAATAGTGTTGCAGTTCCACTTTAAATGGGACTAGTCTCCGGTACTACCTGCATCCCAGATCCTGAGATAGGAGACAGACCCTGCAATAACTAAAACCTATGAACTTTGCCAACCATGGTCTGCTTTATTCCTGGAGCCATTGATTGTAAAGCAGATGTCCTCCTCCAACACCTGACCATTGACTTGTCTGCATAAGGACTGAAAAGTATGGACTGTAAAGACCAGAGAGCACCCTGAATAATAGATATTACTATTCTGTTCTGACTACTCTGACTGTTCCGACCCTTTGGACTGCCTGGGTTGTGTTTCTGACTGCTTAATGCCTCTGATTTCTGGAGAAAAGAGAAGTAAAGTGACAAAAAGCTGTGGCACATCCTCATCATATGACCTCCGAAGAGGTCTTTCATATTCATATTCACTTCCACCATTGTTATTATTGATTTTGTTAATTTCTTGGATGCATTGGTTGTTTGTTTTGTATTTGTGTCTTCCCTGCTATGGATACAGTGTTGTCCTTTTGTCCTGTCTGTTCCATCTTTTTGTGCCAGGTTACAGACCATGACTCATCTCTGATTCTAATTAATTTTTACCTGTCCATCAAGAGTAGCCACAGGTTGACCTCAGGGTATGTGACCTGGCACTCATGGTGTAGCAGTCAGTCTTGTTTTAGGTAATTTTAATATTTGAATATAACCTTGTCTGTGTGCTGTTAGTGGGTTACGGACCTGATATTCTTAAAACTACAAATAGAAAAATTCCTCATTTCTCTTTGCAAATATTTTACCCTTGCACAAGAGCACCTAAGTAAACAATCACTATTTTTAGCATTATTTTTGTGTGGCCTGATTTTCATGATTCTGTGATCACAGCTGGACTTACTGCAAAAAGTCACAAATAGCACATGGCTTTTCCACACGACTGAAGAAACATAGTTACTGTTTCTCCCAGACCACAGCTCTCCAAAAACACATGGAGAGTGACAACTGTAAAGGTAACCTAAGTACTGTATAATATGTATATATATTTTCCCTGCTTCCCCTTAAAAGACAGTCAGGAGTCTGTCTCAGAAGTCAAAAAAAGTTTTAATTTCATGCGCATGGGAGCAAAACACCCAGCTTCCCTTTGCTTACAAGATTGGCAGTATTCCAAAATCACGCACATCTTCCTACCTCGCTATTTGCTAAAGATAACTTATTTTAATACAATTGGTTACTTACTGTAGGTTCATAACACGCATTCCTATATAATGGTATAGAATTACATACTGTAGTAGCCCTTGTGTCCAGCATTCTTCCAATCCAGTTCAAACCAGTTCTAAATGTCCACTTTATAAAATATTGCATCTTCTGCAGGAAAAGTGTGTACAAAGTTCACAGAGCCCCTCTCAACAAAATGCTTAAAATAAATTAATAAAAATTACATCAACAGCATATTAAGGAATATGCCTTGTGTAACAGTAATTAATGTGAATATTTTTTTTACCATTAGCTGTACTTGACAACAAAATAATCTGAATAATAGCCAACATTTGGCCTTGAAGCTAATTCCAAAGAATGCAACTATGTGGTTGACAAAAACAGCTTGTGAAATCTGAACTGGACAAAAGGTTATAAACTGATAACATTTGAAGCATTTGAAGACAGGATTACTTACTCTTCACTATAAATTAAAGATGTTATGAGACAGAAAAACAATTATTGCTCATAATCTGGTAGACAAAAAAGGACAAATAAAAACTCTGATCTCCTAATCACCAGGAATTGAAAACACAAATTAAAAAACAGGAGCAATTATTTATAGGAAATAGCTGCAGAGAACATACAACTGACAGTACACAAATTAGCGAGAAAAAGTAGCTTGGAATTGGCTTACTGATCTTAATTGATGATGTAACAAATGATGGCAGAAACAAAATGAATTAATTCCTGTTGTTACTCTTAATATTTGTCTCTGTGAGTCTTGTTACTGCACCTCATTTTTCTCGCTTTAAATGCCTCTCTTTCCCACTCTACTATTTTTAATACAGTTTACAGTTTATTTTTAGGTGTGTTTTTGGATTTACTTAATCTTTTATGCTTCAGATTTAATAAGATCCTTATTCTCGGTGGTTTTAAAATCCACATTGATTCACTGCATTCCAATTCAGTTAAGGAGTTTCTAACTTTGTTGGAATGCTTTTGTCTCACACAGGTTGTACTCAGTTCAACTCACAACAAAGGTCACACTTTGGACTTAGTAATTGCAAATGATTCTTTTGTTTCTCACTTATCTTATCTTGAACTAGGCCTTATTGATCAACTAGCTGTTCTCTTTGATTTAGAATTCCCTGTCCCATAGTCATCATCCCTATTGCTCTGTAAGTTTTCGCAATTGGTGATCAGTTGATCAGTCTAGGTTTACCGACTCTGCTCTGTTTTCATTGATTTGCTTTTCTAACTCTGATACTCTGCAAAAAAAGGTACAAGTGTTTAAGAGCTCTCTTTTAACTACACTTAACACCCTAGCTCCTCTTAAATCTCAAACAATCTCCTTCACTTGCTCCACTCCTGCGTAGTTCAGGACCCTATGCAGACGGTGTAATCCGGAGGTAAATGGAGTAGGACAACAGGGAGGAGAGGACAAGGATCCGGGGAGGTTGACAAACAGGGGGCTGTGACGACAGTGAACTGGTGCTTGGTGGGCGTGGCCACGGCAGACAAGTCCAAGGAGTCCAGGGGGGAAATCCGGGGCAAAGTCCAAGGTCCAAACCTGGGTGATCCCTCTCAGACGAAACAAGACAAAGTTAAAAACCAGAACGGGATCCGGTACAGGGACAGGGAATAAAAACAGGATTATGAGGCCAGGTGCTCCGGACTCAGATGGTCAGGACACCGTGATGAAGCCTATGCCGTCGAGTACTCCTGGACCCGCTGGTAGGCGGGCTTCCAGGCCGTCCATCTCCCAATGCTGAGTCCAGAATAGCGAGAGCACCAGGCTTAAATAAGGAGGGGCAGGATTGGGGGCAGGTGCATGGAATCAGGTAAAATAGTTGGTTACTTTAAGTCTGGTGTTCCTCAGGGCTGGATACTCGGCCCCAGAATACCCCGCTAGGCTATTCAGCATTTACGTGTCTCTAATTAGCCTGTCCATCACAGGGCACACACACTCCATGTAGATAGCACCCCTAGAATTTTAACCCAGGGTACCAGTGCTGTGAAGCACTAATGCTAAGTACTGTAGATATAGATATGTTAAATATAAATGTGTCAGATATAAATAAGATAACCTGTATATGTAGCCAGATAACTAACTTTAACATAACTAACATATTCTGAAATTCATGTGATGTGCAAATAAAATGTATAACTTTTAACTTACAAGTTTTTAGTTAAACTGAAAGACAAAGCAACAGGCAAAGAGTGCAGCAAAATAAAATGCACTTCTAGTTTCCAGTCATTTATGAATCCAGGGACATACTGATGTTGATAATATACAAGTTTCAACAATATATTGACTTATATACTGTATTGAAAAAAAGTATATATATATTATATAATATATATATATATTAATATCAGGGAACTCATGATATGTGCTGTTTTTGTACAAGTATAAAAGTATGAATATAAAACTAGTGTCCAAGTACTTCTGTGAGACACTTTATTGTGTTAGCCTTGCTTCTTATTCTCTGGTTATTGTTGTTTTTCTAAATTTTGACTACCATCACTGAGGTAGTTTTTCAGTGAAACTGCAGACACAGAAGTCACTAAATGCGTGAAAAGCTTATTCTTCCCTCGGTCTCCCTGCACCTCTAAAGAAAAAGCAA